GTAGAAAATATCACTAATTCTATAATTTTTCATCATATATACATGATTAACGATATATATAATTTTATATTCAATTACATATATTCATAATAATAAATAATATTCATAAGATTTTATCTAAAAAAGTATGCATTATATTTTAATCGAGTTTATGTTCAGGTTCATATGTTGACCTGGTCGACATTTATGATCATAATAATTTCGGATCTACGACCGGGTCCAAATTCAGGTTGAAAAATAATTCAATCAACTTTTAGGGTAGAGTAAGAGACAAACATATTAAGTTCACGGATTTGACGAGAGAACACTAATTCAAAAAGGAAAGGTGAGAAGAATGAATGGAGTGTGAGTGGTGTGTGGCTAATCACACTTACTAAATATAAGAAATGTGTTTACGAGATTGGACTAGAGTCTTAAAAGTATAGTGACATAATTGATTAAATAATAAATTGAAAAATAGATACTAAGCATTTGTATAGTTGCCTAACACTTTCCTTGTCGGTTGTGAATGACCAATGACAATAGATTGAAAAATGTATTGGATATCAATATCTAATAGTATGTATGTTTTATGTAATTTATTATATGAAAACATGCAAATAAGAAGATAGGATGAAAATATATAAGAAATAGTAATAAATGTGAATGATATCAAATATACTGAATTGTTTTTCATTACCCAAGTAAATGATGAAGATCTTAATCTATATAATAAAACTATGAATTAAATTTTGGTAAAAATCTAATGATCATTCAATAAAATAAATGAACAGGAAATCTAATGATACAAATTATATAGACGTCAACAAAAGTTGTTGCCATTGATAAGAATTCAACTCATAATCTCTTAATTTTTCTAGATTTAAAAATTGAAATAAGTTATTTTTAAATAAATAAAAGTAAGTAAAAAAGTGGCACTATTTAATCTTCCAATCATCTTTTCAATCATCTATTATCTCAAATCATATCTAAAATTGTGTCTTGTATTAATGAACCAAATATAAAAAAGTAATTTTTAATTGATGTGATATATTTTATTAGTATGAGACAAAATTTTAGACATGATTTAAGATAACAAATTTTTATTCAGATGATATAACCAAACCAAAATTCCGCGTGATGGCATCCAGTAGTGGCATTGCACTATCCAATCCCATTGCATCTCCACCCAATCCATTTTTTTCAAATCCTATGTCCCCAACCAAACACCATTATGACACTACCACTAACTCTAAGGATAAGTCTTCTGTGTTGATAACATATATGAGAAAAATAACCATTTGTTAAAATATATGTAATGACTATCACAAAAATAATTTATGAGTAGGATCATGTATTATGATATTTGTCTCACGGATACCTTTATATATATTTTAATTAAATTTTTTATATATTTTATACTTAATTATTATTATTTTAACATTTGTCTATTTTATACAGATACCCGCTACTTATATGGATACCCACAAATAGTGCAAGTACAATTATAGGTATATACTATCTGTGCCTGCTCCGACACCGTTATCATCTGTAGTTTATAATAGGAATGTCTATCAAAGGTGATTGGAATGGGTATTTGTGCAAATATTGAAATAAAATTTAAAACAAGTTATTGCCTAATTCTAACTTTTTTAATTCTTTTAGAGAAATATCAAAGAAGTAACCTAAGTATGGTCTACAAGAGAAAAAAAATAGGGAGATACTTTTGGGACACATGTGAAAATGGAATGTGTTGTGTGCATTTGAAATGGGTAGACATGTTATTATATATCGTGAGCAATACGAAAAATTTATTGAATAATTTCTTCCTTTATTTAATAAAAGACATTTTTAGTTTGTACGGTCCAATAATTGGTCCTGAAAATTTATACATTAAAATTAAGTCATACACATATCAATATCAAATACATATACTTTTTCATTTTAGAGTATTCATTGATTTAAAATACACCTTGGCTTGTAATATAACCCATCAGACAATGACCCATGATTATTTGAAGAGCTGCAACAAACACCATTGCTCCCAAATGGTTGTGTCGGTGAAGCCGCATTTGAAGTATTTTAGGACAACCACGGTGTCTGTGCTACAAATTAAACCACGTTAATGATAAACAAATTATTTTATCATCTCAAAAGCACACTTATTTCTTTCAAATCAAGATATATGCAATTATTGATGAGAGAGAATATTTTATGAATTTAAATGAAAAGATTTTTTTACACGTTTTGATAATTATCTAGTCTTAATTTTGAATAATTGCTAATCGGCAAATTAGTCAATAAAATATCAAACCAGATGACATAAACAAGTATAAAAAGTTGTCAAATTCACATGTATTTGTTTGAATCTAGCATTTCAACCAAAGATTGTTATTCTAAGTTGATTTCAATTGGTTGGTTTGTTTGTTTCATAAAATTAACTAAAACTTCATTTAATTAAACTAGTGAAATTAAGATGTTGGGATCATATTCTACTACTTACTATCCATACATACTTGATTCAACATCACAAAATCATTTAGTTAAGATTCTTTCACAACAATGAGACCTCAATGATATTAAAAGTTAATGTCTTAGTCAATTTAGTAGCTTATGAAATAAACCTTTAAGTCTAACAACTTTACCTATAAGATGAAGAACTATGATCCACAAAATAGACTTCTATGTCTAAAAACTATGCTTGTGAAAATTGAGATTTAATATAACACCTCAAAGTACTAATCGTTAATGTCTTGATCATATTAATAGCTTATTAATATAACTTTATGTCTAACAACTATACTAACAATATGAAGATTTATGAACTATTAATACACCTCTATGTTTAGCAACCATGTTAACAAATTTGAGAGTTATGTTAGTGTTCATATGGCTTTATGTCTAGGAACCATATCAATCAATTCAATATTCATACATAACTATGACCAATTAGTAAAAAATCTATGTTTAGAAATTATTATAAAATGATGAATTCCTAAATCCATAATCTTATAACCGAAATTTCTTCATGCATTTATCAATCCAATATTCATACGAAAAGGTCGTTAAGTGCCTTAATACGAGTAAATTGCATATGATTTGGGGCACTTATTGTTAAACTTTGATGAAAATACTATCCAAACTCTTAGGAATCTAGTATTATTAGCTTGGTCTAGAAAACTTCCACAATTATTGTCAATTGCAGGTTAATGGTGATTGGAAAAGATGAAAATTGGAAGAAATTGAGAACAAGTGTGAAAAAGCCAACCTACTGATGAATTCTCGCCCAAGCGAGAGACACTTACCTACAAGCCACACCTACTAAAGGATTCTCGCCCAAGCGAGAGACAGGTTCCAAAAGACAAACCTAATGTTAGATTCCCGCTCAAGCGAGAGACATGAGATCAGTTACGTTATAGTTCTCGCCTAAGCGAGAATTTCTAGCTTGAGCGAGATACCAAAAGTCTGAAACAAATATAGGAGATTTCCATCAATTATGGGGGTTACCTTTTGCCATTATTGAGTGATTTCTGACTTTTCTAGAGAGAGAAACACGAAGGAGAAGGAAGGAAGTCGTGGGAACGACTCTAAGCCTGGATTCTTGTAGTTTTACGCATTTTCATTATTGTAATGTGTAAAATGAGTGACTAATTTCTCCGTATTAGGATTGAATGTAATATTCTAACTCTTGTATTTTGGATTCAATTCAAGTATATTTCGTTATTTTGATTTTTGGAAATGTTGTTCTTCGCTTAATGCTTGATTCTAATTAGCTATTAGACTCATGATTGTTTATCCAAGTTTAACTGGAAAGTAAAACCTGGGGTTGAATCTGGATAACGTTTCTTGATGCATCATTGATCTAGGAATAGACGATGATGTATGAATTGCTTAAACATCGAGTTTAATGTTAGATAATTTGTCAAATAACCAGGGGATTGGAATTTGAGGTATTATCTAAGGATTTTGTAATCAAGGAATTGATATAAATGATTCAGGATGTGCATCAAGATCGATAACCACAAGATATTCACAGAATTGAATCTAAAGTTTACACAGAGGAAGAATGATGAAAGTTAATCCCAACAATTTTTATTTAATTTAGAAAAACAAATTTTATCGAATCTTTTAGAAAGAAAAAAAAAATCCAATGACTTTTATCAAACCCAATGCTTGTAAATATTCACTCAATTTATATTTTTAGAAATTAACATAAATCTCATTTGCTCCATGAGGACGATATCTCGGTATCTACCGGTTTTATTACTTGAGCGATACGGTTCACTTGCCGTACGAAAATATCGAACAAGTTTTTGGCGCCACTGCCGGGGAGCAATGTGCGATTTATATTAAATTTCTGAACATATTTTATTGAGTAGTGTAAATAATTTTTAATTTAATTTTAGTTTTTATTAATTTTTGTGCTACCCTTGTTGTACTCTTCTCATTTATGTTTTTGAGAGAAAAGACTACTGAAGATCAATTGCAGTTTAATCTTGAAATTGAACGATCAGCTAAGAGTAACAGAAAGAAGGCAAAAGCTAAGAAGAAGTAGGGTGCACAGTCTAGTTCTCAACATACAACAATTCCAGACACTCAATCCATCAAAATGGATAATACAGATCCTCCTATTGGAAATACTGAGAGGGCTAATCCTCCAAGAAGGACTTTGGATGATTATGCTATGTACCAAGGTCCAAGGCATTATTCCAGCATTGTCATTCCACATATCGCAAGGAAAGTGGAAATCAAGCCAGCTTTCCTGAATTTGATCAGTGCACATCAATTCTCTAGGAAGGATTATGAAGATCCTTATGCTCATTTGGACAATTTCTATGGATTGGTGGCAACTATGGATTACAATGATAATGAAAGAGAAGCTGCATACATGATGTTGTTCCCATTTTATCTAGTTGGTGAAGCTAGGGAATGGTTAAAATCTCATCCAACCCAAAGCTTAACCAATTGGAATGATCTGGAATCAAAGTTCTTGACATTTTTTTCCCAACAGCTCGGTATGTGCATGCAAAGTTTGAACTATTAACATTCCAACAAGGTGCCGATGAAGCCTTTTATGAAGCTTGGGAGCGTTACCAGGTGTTGCTCAGAAAATGTCCCAATCATGATTTTGAGGATGTAGATCAACTCAACATATTCTGCAATGGTCTAAAACCTGAAACCAAAAGGATAATAACTGCCTTATCGTCAACAGATAGGCAAACACAACATAATCGGCGGTTAGTACAGAAGAGAAGAATGCTGGATCTGAATACTTCTGATGCTATTTTTGCACAAAACAAAATTCTGACATAACAAATTGAAGCACTGACAAAGCAAATGTCCAAGCTGCCTCAACAATTGCATGTTGTGCAATCTACTCCGAGTCAACAATAGGTGTTGAGATGTGAATTTTATGGAGGTGAGCATGCAACTGGTCACTGTGCAATTCCAAATAACAATCAAGAGGAAGAAGTTCAGTATATCAACAATCCACCTCGACAGGGCAATTTTCCCAACAACCCTTCATACAATGGTCAATTTTCACAAAGTTGGAGGCCAGATTCAGGACCATCAAACAGACAACCACCTTATCAACAACCATTCCAACAAGGTCAGCATCCACCAATGCATGAGAGACAAAATAAGCTGGAGGATACCTTAGAAAAGTTCATGCAAGCTTCGATGACTAACCAGAAAAATACTGAAGCATCTATCAGGAATATGGAAACACAAGTGGGTCAGTTGGCAAAACAGATGGCAGAGCAAAGTTCAGATGGCCGACAGTTCTCGGCTAACACTCAAACCAATTCCAAAGAACACTGCAAAGCCATTACTACTCGGAGTAAAAAGGTGATTAGTCCAAATTTTGGTAAGAATTTGGCAGTAGATGAGGAAGTGCTTGATGGTTGTCGCGCCCCGATTTTCGGTCGAACACCGGTTGCACGACTGGTTTGGAGTCGCCACTACGTTTTATGCAGTCAAAACGTAGAAAAACCCTTTTGTGCCCAAATGTTGGAAAGACTGGTCTTCGAACTAGAATTCTGGAATCGGGAGTCGGTTACGGATCGGGGAAGGTATTAGCACCCCGTCCGCCCATTATTAAACGGTACCCGCAATAATCGCATGGAATTGAATATACCCTAAAGCTTGTTAAATCAAATGATTATTTATTGAAACAAACTATTTTTATTTTTATTTTTGTGTCCGACAAGAGTTCATCTTGCTCCTACGTATCCCTAGGTGCAATAGGGAAATCAAGACTACGTAGTTCTTGGTAGAAAAAGTTTGGTGTGTTGGGTTAATTTTACTTATAAAAAAAATGGTTTGAGGAATTGGTGAAATGGTTAATAATTGTTAGGGTTAAAAAATGAAATATAACTTGACTCCATATCATTCTTACCCATATAATAAAAGAAGAGGCAGTACGATAGCCGCTCACCGCTTTTAATTAAATAAGGTAATGAGATAATTGATCTCTATTGTGTTATCTATCTTAGAGAAAAGAAGAGGCAGTACGATAGCCGCTCACCGCTTTCCTACTAATAGGATAATAAAATAGGAATCAAGTTGATATTTATTTATAACCTTTGAACTCAAAGAAAATATCTTTCATGAAATTGTTTTATTTGAAAAAATTTACTATTTCAAATATTCATCACACAAAGAGATAATGATTATACAACTTGATTTACACATTTGGGTAATTTCAAAAAGAATGAATCTTATTTATTGATGACTCAAATGAATATGATTTTTTTATTAATTATCATGATTGCTTTTGATATTTACAATAACACACTTAATGATTAATTTCTGAAAAATGGAACTAATTTATTGATAGTTCAAATAAATATGATACACATTAATTATAACGGCTATTTGGTATTTACGAGAATCATATTTAATGGCTAATTTCAAAAATGGAACTAATTTATTGATAGTCCAAATAAATATGATACACATTAATTATAACGGATATTTGATATTTACGAGAGTCATATTTAATGACTAATTAGTTTATTCGAACTTTTCGAAGTGTAATCATTTTTATTAAAATTAGGGCAAGAATTTCAAAAGATAAGGACGACACTGACCATCTACCGTCAATCCCATTAAAATATAAAGAAGAGGCAGTACGACAACCGCTCACCGCTTTTCTATTCGAAGGGAATGAAAGATATGGTTCGGTCCGTTCACCGATCTCCAAATTCTTACATTAGGTTCTATTTCTACGCTCGAGTAACAATAGAATCATTGATAAAAAACATGCATACTTTTATTATTATTAGTTATTTATAATTATTATGTAGATACTAATAATGATTAAAAGATTTGAATTTGATCATTTTTATAATAAACAAATCATAGAATACTCTTTATGATTATGATAATTAGAAAACCTATCCTTTAACACCCAAAATTATCTATTCTCTTTTTTTAGAAATTTCATTTGAATCAATCATATAAACTTAACATTTCATTATAAAGCACAAGGACATGAAATACGATAATATATATATAATTTATCAAATAGTAAACCTACAAACAGTATGCATAGAATACAAGCACACATATGTACATATAAACAGAATATTAAGTAAACACATATAAACAGAACACTAAGCAAACACATATGTAAGTATAAACGTTAATGGATATAAAGAAATAATAAAATGAAATGAATTAAAGTAAAAGAAAATAATGAAAACAAATAAATAAATAAGAAGTAAACATGAATAGAAATAGTGGACATAATGCAAATGCTAAAAGGAGGACCCTTGTCTTCCCCAAAATACCATTGTTGCAGCAACATTTCCAATATGTACATGGGAAGTGAGGTTGGAGACTTGATTTGGCAAAAGGGAAGCAACAGTAGCAAACCAAGTGAACCACCAGGTTTTGACATGTGTTTGAGGCCATGAACTGGACCTGGAAGGCCGCAGGAGACGCTCTGAATCTCCCTCACTGTGGTGGCGCCGCTATTGGCGCTTAGCGGAGATGTTCTAGCAACCAAATCCTTCTCTATGTTGTTTATGAGTTTTTTGAATGCTCTGATTATTTCTCTCTTGCTGTTAGGATATTTTTGCTATGTCTTATCTAATTGTGTGTGGAGTCTTAGGGGTGCTGAAATGATTTTAGATAAACACTGGTTTTAGGATGTGGGGATGAAGGGTTGAGTGTATTTTCTGGGTGTAGGGGCTGCTCAGTGTATGGATTAGGATAGGGTTGCTGGAGTAGTTCCTTTTAGTTTAGTTTAAGTGGGTCTTTATATAGACCCCTTAAAACTAGGTTTAGGGTTAAGTGTTATTTATGGAAATTAGTACTTAGTCTTGTGAATTTATGTAATTGCGACCCGTTCCCTAAACTTCTTTAAAGTTTTAAAAAAAGACCCCGGACGAAATTGGGTATTCACAATGGTGAAAAGAGTGAGGGAGAACAAAATGAGTTTGGAGAGAACACATAAAAAGAAAAGGAAATTAGTGAGCTGGTAGAGCAGAAAAAGAGTGATCTGCCACAACTGAAGAGTCTTCCGTATCCGAAGAATACTTCCAAGAAAGACAAGGAGAGACAATATACAAGGTTCATGGATATATTCAAGAGCATTCAGATCAACATACCTTTCATGGAGGCTATGGAACAGATGCCTACTTATGCTAAATTCATGAAGGATTTATTGACATAAATTGGATAGTAAATGGCCAAAGACTCAAAACGTATATGGGTGGTGAAGTCGAACGACTTACCACAAGCATCCACCTAGTTGATCCTCAAAAGGCATGAAAAGCAGGCATCGAGCTAATGACGTTAAACAAACGCTAACTGGAAGGCAATCCAACTTTTATTGTTTGGTAGAAGTTTTTTTCTGTTTTGGCTTTGACTTTAAAATAAATAAATAAATTGATCACTGCCCAATTCTCGCCCAAGCGAGGGCACCCTGGCTCAAGCGAATCAATCTTCAAAGGGCCTGAGACATTGTCTCCCAGGCGAGAATATATGTGCTTAGGAGAGGAAATCAGGTTCCAAATTATGGGATTATCGCTCAGGCGAGAAAATCTCGCCTAAGCGAGGGATACTTCTGCACATTGTTAAATTCTCGCCTAGGCGAGAGTTCCTCGCTTAAGCGATGACATCAAGTCCAAAAATCTTTGATTCTCGCCCAAGCGAGAGGGCACATAAACAGTTTTTAAAAAGGGGAATTTGGTGAAACTCTTCATCTTCCATTTGAAGAAAAAATCCCGAAGAGCTCAAATCTACTTTCTCTCATTCTTCAAGCATTTCAAGGCATTTTGCACTCATTCATCTTCACACACACACACTCTACCAACATGAGCCGACCATTGTAAGTATTTTAATTTCTCATCTTATTACGGTTGGGTTCATCATTACTCCTAATGTGTATGTTTAGAACTTGTTCGTGATTTAGACATATTTAGGGTTCACTAGAGTGTTATTATGCTAAACTTTAATCCTATTCTATCATTGTTCTATCTTTGGGACATTTTGAGAGTTATTACATTGAAAACCTAGGGTTTCTAACTTTGGGCATAAAATTTCGCATCTTGAGCTAGACATAGTCTTGTGTTCTTGTTATGACTATGTTAGACAAGTGCAATGGTAGTGATAGTTGAATTTTTTTGTTGAAAAAGCGTATTGAGTGAAATAACTATTGTTGGTGCATTTTTCAGAGACATGGTTGTTTATGTGCAGGAGAACAAAAAAATGTGCCAATAAGAACCATCGTCCTTCCAAGAAGCAAAAATTCGACACTAGTGGCTAAGCCGCCCCATCCTTCAACCGTAACATATTTACCTCACTAGAGAGGGAAGAGCGTTACACCACTCTCCTTCAATGGGCATTCATACCTCAAAGAAGGGTGGAGCTGCAACATAATGAATATCCCAAATTCTTGGAAACGTTGGACCGGTTGAAGTGGGGGGCAATAGCATCAACGCACGATAAATTTGATCCTGATGTGGTGCGAGAGTTCTATGCTAATGCTTATCCACCAGAGAAGGGTGGGGAGGTCTTCGAGGACAAGTCATGGGTAAGGGGTAAAGTCATCCGGTATGACCGGGATTATCTCAATATGATGTTGAACAACCCCTATGAAAAAAAAGATGGTCATCCG